CTTTGATGAATACAAACAGTGGATTTTGAAGAACAGTTCAGGGACTGAGCAAATTCTTCTAATATTGGCTTTTTGATGTTTTTGGACACTTGGAACATTGGGACTTGGATGGATTACTGAATAACTTGTAGCCCACTAAAATAAAATAAAATATTACAACAAGGAAAAACAAATATATCCCAAATACTATTAATGCTTCAAGGTATCCAGGAAACTATGACAAGAAACCATAGGGAGATGATGGAACTGATGCACGATACAGATGTGAGACCAGGAAATCTCCAGCAAATGATAATGGAAAATGAACAAAAAATTCAGACAATATCTCTATTCAGAAGTAGAGGAAAGAATAGAGGAGATAAATCAACAAATGACACAAGTAGATAAAGATACAGAAGAGATAGTAACAATTCTTGAAATAGAGCAGGTAGATTATTTCTCAGGAGTCCAAAATGTAGAAGAGAGCAAAGAGAAAGATCCCTTAGAAAGGACCAAAGAGTTACGGATGGGTATTTTAGAGAGTAGACAATGAGAGGCAGATGTGGAGGCAGAGGAGATATTTAGACTAATCATGAGTAATGTAGAGGGATACGAGATCCCAAGAGAGGAGCATGGGAGATTGATCAAAAATTCAATAAGAGTTGAAATACTAAAAACGGCAAGAGATGATGGGAAGATACAGAATACATCTTAATATGGGATTTGTTTTACTAAAGATTAGAAAATTCTAGAATGCTAGAGCTAGAAACTAGAAATTGGGAAAATGTTATTGTGCATACTGTTACATGATATAAGTTACCATAACTACTATGTATATGAAAATGTTAGAAGTTGAAAGACTACTACTATGTAGCTTAAATATTAAAGAGTAAGAGATGATGGATAGATATATAATATTTTTTAATATGGGAATGGTTGTATTAGGGGTTAGAAATAAGAGGTAGAAAATGGGAAAACGTTACTATGTACACTTACAAAATATAATACATTACAATTACAATGTATATGTTAATCTTGGAAGTTAAAAGATTATTATTATGTGTATCTAAACAGTATTATTATTGTTACTAGTATTCTGTATAAAGTAAATTGACCCAGACAATGTACTATTCACTAAATACTTATATATGTTAAAGAAAAAAACATAAATAAAATTATAAAAAACAAAACAAAAACATGTTGGATAATTTCTCTGGTGTCATATACCAATGGTACATCATTTTATAAAAGTTCTCTCTTAAATTATAACTCAATGTGAATTTCAGTCCATATTTTTTCCTATTGAGTCATCTGTATATTTTAACCAAAATTATTAGCTCATTTTATCATGCACGCTAATTCTTTTTCTTCCTTTTCAAATTTCAACAAATGCTAATATAAGTTGTCATGTGTACAAAATTCAGTTTCAAATTCCAATTACCTTATCATCTATAGTAAACTTCCTTTTAATTGTGCATACAATAACTATTATCAGCAAACATTTTATTGAATTATAAGATAAAATAAGATACAAAATGCAAAAGTAAATAGGAAAGCAGTGAGGGAAAGGGGAAGAGAAGTGAGGAAGGGTTTGGAAAAAGAAAAAGTAGCATTGACTTCCAACTCCCTCTATTGCAGTAGAATAAAGCATTAACATAAAACCACAACTTTTTGTTTTTTTCATAGTAATATAAACTAGCCATTTTTATAATCAATCTAATCAGTAAAACTCAATCTAATCAATCTAATCAGTAAAACTCAAAATCAAAGTTTCATTCTTTCCCACTTCAAGCACAAAGTTCAGAAGCAGTCTCAATGTGGAAACAAAAGCATTTATATACTTTTCTTTAATCAAAATAGTCAATTTTGCCATTTCAGGCAACTCCATCAGCTTCTTCAGCCATTCATCCACAGTGGGAATTGAAATGTCCTTCCACTTTTGTGCATATAATAATCTTGCTGCTGTCAACATTTATAGCATCAAAGTTCCTAATTTTTTCTCCAAATCTTTTTCCATTAGACCCAAAAGGAAAGTTTCTGGTTTCATCTTTATTTTCATTTTCAGAATTTTCTATATTAAAATATGAATCATCCTCCAGGATTTTTTTTGCTTTATCACATGTCCACCATAAATGATGGAAAGTCCCTTCTTTAATTTGACACTTCCAACATTCATTTGACTTACCTTTATACATCTTAGATAGCTTATCTGGTGTTAAATACCAGTGATACATCATCTTATAAAAAGTTATTGTAAATTATAATTTAGTGCAAATTTTAAACCCTTTGTTGACATATTTTCCATTATTCAAGCATCACATTATATCCAAAATTCCTTGCCCATTAAATCATACAATGTTTTACATGTTCATTTTCCAAATTCAGTTTCAATAGCATTTTATAAATCTTAGCAATAAAATGTTCATCACTTCCACACAATAAAATTTCCAATTCATTTTTAACAAAATCAAACCCATAACTCTTTTTATCCAACTTAAATCTTTCTTTCAGTTGTTGGTAAGTAGGCCAATGGCAAACATAACCTTCTGATTCAAGTTTTTCCCTCAGCTTTAGTATTGGTTCACCAGAGTTGAAAGATAAAATTTTGCCATACGTCAACCAGTCTGGCTTTGCCACCATTTCTTTTCTAAAAAACGCTTCCTGGGGTCACACCCAAAGAGGCAACTTTGTCAAAAGCCTTGTTTTATAGTTATTTCAAACTCTTAGTGTGGCATGTCTAACAAAGTGATTATTAAAATCAACATTAATTTTAATTTTATCATACCATAGATAGCTTTTTCCATCCAAATCTTAATTCATGGCCCTCTAATTCAAGTAACCTCTTGTTTTGGAGCTCCACCCATGCTTTTGACCAGGCCAGACAGCATGCATCAAAATACAGTTTCAGGTCTGATAGTCCCAACCCACTATTTCCTTAGTATCTTGCAGTAGCTTATATCTAATTCTTGATTTTTTCCCTTGCCATATAAATTTAGAAATATCCTTCTCCCATTGTTTAAATGGACTAACGGTTGCAAGTATTGGTAATGTCTGGAATAAATCTTTGCTAAATATATTCATCTTAATTACAGAGATTTTACCCAATAGAGATACAGTAGGTGCAATTTGTCCCAGCTTTGTAAGTCCTGCTTAATATCCCTCCAAAGAGGGAGGTAATTATTTTGAAACAGTTTTATATTTATATTTATTAACATAATCCCTAAATATTTTACCTTTTTCTTAACCCTAAAATCCGACTTTTTGATCAATATACCACTGTCCTGAGAAGACATATTCTTAATCAACATTGTTGTTTTCTGTTTGTTTATTTTGAAACCTGCCAAAGCCCCAATCTCATTTAATTTTCTCATCAAATATTCTATATTACTTTTGGGTCCTGTAAAAATATGACGAGATCATCAGCAAATGCCCTCAATTTATAAACTTCTTCCTTAATATTTATACCCTTTATTTTATCATATTGATACCTCTATTCAGAACTATTGGAAACTATGCTATTGAAATTCTTGGACAACCATTTATCTGGAATGGTATAAGGCAATGATGGCAAACATCACTTAGGGGGGGCCGAACCAATAAATAAATAAATAAATAATAAATAAACAAACAAACAAACAAACAAACCTTTTTGCTGTCATGTGTCAAATGCGAGGAGAGTGCGGGGAACCTCCAGGAAGGCAAAAAATAGCTTCCCCCAGCCGTCCGGAGGCCGGAAACGGCCCGTTTCTGGACATCCAGCAAGCCCATTTTTCGCCCTCCCAGAATCTCTGTGCGAGCCCTGTATTTACCTGGCATCCAAAACGGCCATGTGGAGACTCCTGGGAGGGGAGGGGTGGCATGGGTATGCGCGCATGTCTCCTGCATGTACAGCAGAGACCTGAAAATCAGCTGGCCGGCGAGAGGCTCGCACGCAGAAATGCCCATAGGTTCGCTATCACGGATATAAGGTGTCCTGCTTGAGCAAGGAATTGGATTAGAAGATGTCCAAGTTCCCTTCCAATTCTGTTGTTCTAGGTTTTAACTCCCACTCTTGTCAACAGAAGACCTTTAGCTACTGCTTTTCAAAAGCACTTGGAAGTTGTAACTGGTCTAGAATGTTATGAGTTATGCTAAATGTTATACCCAGCAGACAGTTATGGGTACACCTTTGTAACTCTGCTACTCTGCAAAGAGTTTATATAGATGCCCACCCATCTCACTAAAAGCAAATAATAAATAGAACAGTCAATTAAAAAACAAATAAAAACCTAAAGCATCACAGTAATAAATATCATAAAAAAATACTAACCATAGGTGAAGGGGGGATAAAAATAGCCTCTTTAGTATTATAACTCATAAAGTAGTAAGTTCTTCTACTTCTATTAATACTTTTGTTTTCCATTTTTAAGTATATTTATAATTAGTTTTATCAACTGTGACTTGTTAAGTTTTAAACTGTCAGAAACATAGTAACTTTTTTATTTACAAAGTTACAAGAAACTATCAGCTCCATGTTGACAGATGAGAAATCAATTGTATGAGTCTAGGGCTGCTGGCATTTTGCTGGCATCTGCCTGCACAAGGTGAGGGTTATTCAAGGCAGGTAGAAAGCTACCATGTCCAGTGTAGTAGCAGACAGAAGACTCTGAATAAGTGCTTGGTTTGGATTCAGTTGTTTGGAGAGGAGTCCAGTCTAGGTCATTCATATGTGACAATTATGATAAGTAAAATGGAAAAAGTTCACAAATTGTACTGCAAAGAAAATGTGGTTTGACTCAGCTAGTTCAGGGATGCAGATCTTTCTTTACTCTACTTTGTGAAATGTTCTTAAAATAGGGGAAAACATTTTTTGAGAATAAAATAGTATGTTTTGAATTTCCACTTTAGGAGGTTGTATCTTTGAATTTTACAGCTTTTTAGAAAGAGCCTGGTTTGGAAGAAAGGTTTATTTTCTGCCTTAAAAATGATTATGTATGACAACTTAATATCTGAATTATTGCTCTGTTCTTGTTTTCTTATAGAAATGGCAGTGCCAAAATGGTATCAAGTGTTATTATAGATAAAGAAGAAGAAGAGGATGACCAGTTTATAGTGAAAGCAGAACAGCAGCTACCTGAAATAGCAGAACTGAAAATGGTTAGTTTATGTGCTTTCTTATTTAAATATGAAAATGTTAATGTGTTAACTGTTTTGCTCTCATTTTCTTTGTGGGATTTCAATAGGTTGCTTTCCACTTTATGCCTGGCTGTTGAAAGTTCAAAACTAGACTACAGGTGGAGACATTTTCCAATCTTAGTTAATCTAAGAAGATTTGCAATTATCTTTAGAATGATAAATATACAAAATCTTAAGCACTCAATGCAGAAAAATGTGGATGTTACATTATGTTATGTCCCCATGTACAACGGAACCCATTAACACCCTAATAGGTTTGAACCTGATCCATTTTGTATATTTGAAGAGTTCTAAATAGGACAAAACTGGTCATATACTTCCTCCTGTGATCAATATAAGTAAAATTTTTCACTTCTTTTTCTTGACAAATGTAAGAAAAATATTAGGCTGGTTTGTCCTCAGAATTTGATGGATATCTGAAGTCAGTGGAAGATCTTCCTGACACGTCTGTATTTATTTCTCTGTGAATATGATCTGTTCTCCCCATAAGTACTAAAACTAGATAAAGAGAAGCCAAAATGAGTCAAAACATTATACTTGTTCAATTATTTATTGAGGAAAATGATCCAAAGTTGTGATTTGTATGTGACAAAAGTATATGAACATCTAAGATTATCACTTTATTGGAAGGGGAAAATAAAGTCATCAATATTTCATCAATGAGATGATACTCAAGTGTGAGTATGACAATTTTTAAAAACCATTACCTGGAGAAATATCTTTTTCATACACTGTGTGTATAATTATTAGACAAGTATTTTGACCATATCATCATTTTTATGCCTATTTCCATCTCCAAGCTGCATAAACGTGAATGCTCATGTACTGTTTTCCTTCACCTTAAATCTCCTGTTTAAGAAGGGCCCACAAGTTCTCAATAGTTCTCAATACTTATTTTCTGCAATTATATAATTTTGAGTTTTACCTGTTGAATGAACTCATTGAACCTTTAACAATTTGGATGCCTCTTAAGAGGCTAAAACTTGAATAATTCCTTCAAATCTTGTTAGAATAAATGGATGTTTATTATGTTCTTAGGGTTCTTAGGGATATTTCCAAGTATTATTCCTTCTGAAGTATCAAGTATTAAAACACTGCAATCTGTTGATCACAATAATAGTAACCTTCTTTCTGTAATTCAGAAACATTTCTGTTTATTTAATTTAGGAGGCAACGGTAGAGCTTGAAGGAGATGAGAAACATGGTAAGTTTTATTCAATAATATTTTCCCCTGCTTTTATGTGTTCATTTTTATTAATCCATCATATAGCTAAATTTCAGAAAACAGAACTGACTTAGTTGAAAGTCATATTTTCTTTAGCTCTGCCTTTTCCTACTTTTGATAAAGATCCTTAGAGACTTAGTTTTTGTTCACCTCTTTCCATTATTTAACTACTTGATCCAAATTTTGCTTCTTTATTTGTTAACAATTTCCTTTCATTGCAGCCTAGTAAAAATAATTATTTTCATGGTTTCTATGGATAACATTTCATATTTGCATCTGTACAGAATATATTTTAGCTAAACTAAAAGGTAGTAACTCTCTTCCATCTTCCTACATAATTGTAATCCAGTTTCTTTTTCTCTCCCACTCTGGTAACCTTGCAAGAAGCTTTCTCCAGAATGTGCTTCTTTTATTGCTTTACTTGTTTTCTTTAAAAAAAAAAAGATTTCTGCTATTTTCCTTCCTTATCCCTTTTTAATATCACTATTGTGAGAATAAAGTATTTTATCTTGAAGATCCTACATCAGATCCTGTTATATAAATAATTTAGTATATGATATTAAATGGTATGGTAACATATGGTATTATTCCTATTTCACACGTAGATAATTACAAAAACGTCATACCACAGATGTGCAGAAACCACTGCTTTCTCTTGCTCTTTGGGAACAAGCTTGAAAAACCATTTGGGGTGCACCAACAATTAATGTTCGTAAGGCTCCATTCCCTGCCCATTTGCTCAATCTTTGCCAAAGAAAAGTTTAATATACATAAACATTAGAGGTAAAGTTGATTTCCCACTTATGCCATTCCATCTAGCCCAATAATCAACCAGTAATGTCTAAAGGCTCATTTAACAAGGTGATGGTAGGAAAGAATACAAATAGACAGAAAACAGAGCTTTCCTTCCATTTTCTAGAATATAAGAGGATCCTATCTTTTTCTGCCTTTCTATGATAAGGCAAGAATAGGTGCATTGAGCTGAATATGTATAGGTAATCCTTGATTTAAAACCACAATTGAGTCAAAAATTTAAATTGCTAAGCAAGGCAGTTGTTAAGTGAGTTTTTTCCCACTTTACAACCTTTCATGCCACAGTTGTTAAGTGAATCACCATGATTATTTAGTAACACAGTTGTTAAGTGAATCTGGTTTCCCCATTGACTTTACTTGTCAAAAGGTTGTAAAAAGTGATCACACAACACCTACTGGGATACTGCAGCCATCATAAATACATGCCAGTTGCCAAGCATTCAAATTTTGATCACATGCAGATGCTGCAGCAGTCATAAGTAAAAAAAAATAGACATAGGTCACTTTTTTCAGTACTGTTGTAAACTTGAACAGTCACTAAACAACTGGTTGTAAATTGAGGACAACCTGTAATCTGTAGAAAAGCTCAGGATAGGTAGTTTCCTAATGTTACATAGAATGTTACTTCTACAGCCCCTAATTAGAGGTGAAGCAACGGTGTTCTTAGACTTATTTGTAATATTGCTGTATTGGTTCAAAGCAAATCAGACTAAATTTACACCTGGAGGAATCATCAAACTCTCATCAAGAAATCCAGGGCAATGGCTGACTCATGTGAAAGAGGATAGAAAAATTTATTTCAAGAAACCAATATATCAATAAAGGTGATAAAAGGACTTCCAGGAACTGTATAATGAAAGAACAATACATAATTAAGGGAGTCAAGCAAATGGTCAAAAGCTGCTTCAGTTCTAAAGAAAGATAGAGCCTATTTCAGACATAGAAGTTCTTGGGGTGATCTTTCTTGGTCAACCAGTCTGAGAAGGGGAATGATGGCGTTACATTTTCTTCATTTGTATATTATCTGATGAATATAGATCAGTACAAGAAAGAGTCATTGCAATACACTTTCCAGCTTTGCGAGCATTGACAGGTTCAAATAACTCTTTTTTGATTGAGGCAATCCTGTGTTGTATTATAGCAGACACTAGTTGTTTCAATCAACATGTACTGAAGGGAGAGCCCTTCAGTCACACCTTTTTGTCATCTCATTAATTAGAACATCTAACTCATTCCTTTAAGAGGCTGATTATCTTAGGGATTTTATGTACTTTTTCTAACAAAGACAGTAAAAGTTGGTTCACTGTGTTAAATGAAATTATGATAGAAGGTTTGCTCAAGGGGTCCCATCATGAAAGGTGAAAGAAATTGACCAGAAGGTAGCTCTTGACTGTAATTCACCCAACATTATAGAATGCACAGTCCCCAGGGATAAGATTGCCCCTTTGGCTATCTGAAAAGCCCCCCAAAAACATGCCTTAAGTAGGTATTAGACTGAGTCGCCATTTTTCATTATTTTATACTGTTAATGATGTTTAATTTCTTTTATGGATTTTCAATTTTAATGTTTTATTGTTAACAACCTAGAGCTGATTGAGATGGTATAAAATTATATAAATGAATGAAAAAGACTCCAAATGAATATTCTACTTTAAGTGTGATTGAGAGAAATATGAGGGGTTCTGGGTGCTCTCTAAGCTTGGTTGTCTTCTTGCAGGTGTTTCATTACCCAAATTAGGTAACATCATTAGTGCTGATGATGTTACCTAGACTGGGTAATGAAAGGACCTCTCATTTCAATCATGAGCTACAAATATTCCATCACAGCTGGATGGAAAATGGAAGGAAAATGGACAAAAAAAAATGATACAGCTCATGATCACAGTTTAATCACCTTAGATTAAACTAATATCAACATACCATAACAAACCTCAAGGAACATTACATCAGGGCACATGGAGAAGCTGGACACCATCATCATGAGTATTTCCTAGAGATATGCCAGAAAATGGAAAAACAAACTTCAAAAGAAACTGCTCAAACTAAACCCCAAAATCAAAGAGACACCAGAGCCCAAATGTGTAGTCAACATGTCCAGCCATCCACTATCCATGGCAGAACACAATATTCTACAGAAAGGCCTCAGCTATAACACAGATGATGCCAATCAATTGGAATTCTTTGCAGCCTTAGAAGGAACATTTGAAACTGGTAGACTACCCGTAAGAGATCTATCACAGAAACCATCATACCAGAGACCAGAAAAAAGCAAGAACAAAGTCAACTTACAGCAAAGCACAGAGCAGCCCTTACAAGCCTAAAAAAAGACCAGACTATAATCTTGCCACCAGAAGACAAAAGCCACAGTTATTAAGGTCAGATCACAATATATACAAAAAGTGAAACTTACATCCCAGTGAAACTTACCAACCCAATAGACAATCAGATCAAGAGAATTCTCAGTGACTTACCAAGAAAGCCAAATTACCAAAGAGGAACAGTGGCGAATGAGAAGCAATGGACCTGTCTCTCATGCTTCTATGGATGCCCCAAAATACACAAGCCTGACATACCTCTCCCTCCAATTGCTACCATTACCAGAGACCCCTACCTACAAGATCACAAAAGAAGTAACAAAAACACTTGGGCACCTTACAAGGAGAAACATACACCATCACTCTCTACTACAATGGCTTAAAAAAAAATCAAAGATTGGGGCAATAGATGAGGTCAAAATCATGGTCTCATTTGATATCACAGCCATTTTCAAGTCCATAGACCTGGAATTAGCTGAGAATCTCTGGCAACATTACTCCACAGCACACTTGACTTAACCAAATGCACAAAGTGTCAGTTTTGGAAGCCATATTAGGCCGGAAGCTTCAATGCTGCCACGTCCTCATGTGTGGGAAAGTAGGAGGGGGGATTTAGGAGAGGGGGTTAGTAGACATACAGGTGAAACTCAAAAAATTAGAATATAGTGCAAAAGTTCCATTTATTTCAGTAATGCAACTTAAAAGGTGAAACTAATATATGAGATAGACTCATTACATGCAAAACGAGATAGTTCAAGCCTTGATTTGTCATACTTTTGATGATTATGGCTTACAGCTCATGAAAACCCCAAATTCACAATCTCAGAAAATTAGAATATTACATGAAATCAATAAGACAAGGATTGTACATAGAACAATATCGGACCTCTGAAAAGTATAAGCATGCATACTCAGTAGTTGGTTTGGGCCCCTTTTGCATCAATTACTGCCTCAATGCGGCATGGCATGGATGCTATCAGCCTGTGGCACTGCTGAGGTGTTATGGAAGACCAGGATGCTTCAATAGTGGCCTTCAGCTCTTCTGCATTGTTCGGTCTCTTCTCTTGGCAATGCCCCATAGATTCCCTATGGCAGTGATGGCTAACCTTTTTGCCATCGCGTGCCAGGAGAGGGGGGGGCAGGGGAGGGTCGCGCACACACGTGCCCATGCGCATGCGCACGCAACCCCACCCACCCCCGCTCCTGGCACGCGATGGCCTCGTAGGCCCGTTTTTCTTTCTTACCTGGTTCCAGATCCTCTCTATGCATCTGGGAAGGGAGAAAACAGCCTTTCCCACTCCCTTGGAGGCCCTACGGAGGCTGAAAGGGCCCATTTCTCAACTCTCGGTGGGACGGGAAGTGACATTTTTTGCTTTCCCCAACCTCCAGAACCTCTCTAGGAGTCTCTAGGAGCCTCTCTAGGAGTCTCTAGGATCCTCTCTAGGAGTCTCTCGAGACTGGGGACAGGAAAAAAGTCACTTCCTGTCCCACCGGAAGTCGGGAAATGGGCCCTTTCAGCCTCCATACGGCCTCCAAGGGAGTGGGAAAGGCTGTTTTCGCTCTTCCCAAATGCATAGAAAGGATCTGGAGCCAGGTAAGAAAGAAAAACGGGCCTTCCCCACCCACCCCCAGGCCCTCCAGAGGCAGGAAACAGCCTGTTTCCCTACTTCTGGTGGGCCCAGAAGGCCCGAAAATCAGCTGGCCGGCGCGCGCATGCGCCACAGAGCTGAGCTGGCGTGCCCACTAATATGGCTCTGCGTGCCACCTGTGGCACGCGTGCCATAGGTTCGCCATCACGGCTCTATGGGGTTCAGGTCAGGCGAGTTTGCTGGCCAATCAAGCACAGTAATC